GCGCCGCTCTCAGCACCCGTCCTCAGTGGCCCTAGTAGACCCATACCGCCAGCAAAACGCCTCCACAGAGAACCGCCACTGTCAGCACTTTTGTCTTCCAGCTTCGGAGGACGCACCAACTGACTCAGCATGCCGCGAGAACGGTACAACACAAAAATGATTCGTGTGACTGTTTCCGCGTCTCCGATGATAGCGGCTGATTCTGCACACTTTTCGGCGGTGTCCTCGTCAAACACATGCATGCCACGCAGGCGGGCGAGGGAAGCCAGTTGCAAAAGCTCCACTGCCTCCTGCTTTGTCACACCTGTGTCACATCGAATCAAAGCTGCCGCCACGGCTCCCACAACAGGGGGCGACATCATCAGGCTTCGTTCACCGTTTGCATTTCCAACGCCCACTCCTTCCGCTCCAGAAGCTTTGCAGCAGCTGCCTCGCAGCTGCTGCCGAAATGTGTGAAGAAGTAGTTCACATGCATCAGACGAACCTGGGCAGATGTTCGGAGGAAGCATCAGAAGGCAGCTCTGTGCAAATGCCAAGGCGTCAGAGCCCTCGAGGCCAGACATCACCAACGCCAGGGCCCGCGCCTGTAACTCATTCATTGCATCACTCTGCAGGTCCCACGCCATTCCCGCCTGCGAGGGATGCAGAGGCTTCGCCAACAGCTCTGTCAGTACCAAGTAGACACTTTTCGCATGCCTTCCCATTCCACACGCGCTGAGCTTCTCAATGACAGAGACGTACTCTTCGGGGGAGGTCACTAGTGAGGTACCGCCGATCGGAGAGGGACGGTGGATGGCGTACAAATGACGACGCTCGCATCTAAGGAATTTCCTCGCGGCCTCCTCTAGAGCGCTACGCGTTTTAGCAGCAACCACCAACAGATGTGGAGGCAAGTCTGAAGATCCATACAATCCCGTGTCACTCGATGAGATGTGTGAGCCTGATGATGTTACCCGTTGCTGTTGAGCAACTTGCTGTTCCCCACCAGAAACGCTTCGGGTACGGCGGCCGTTGGCCTCTCCAGGGCTCGGTGTTTTCGTCGATCGACAAAGCCTCATGGTGATCCGCCTCGCACTGCGGGGCGAACTGAACTCCACCACTGGGGAAAGGCCCAGCAACAGAGCAGAAAGCACGCGCCTCATATTCGCCACGCACTACAGCCCCTAGACAAGAGTTATTTAACGGAGAATGCTACACAGAAGAAAGTCACAAGACGGCTGCCGCTGCGGAATTCACCGTGGAAACAATCAACAGCACAGGAACTCCAGGTCAGTCACAACAGTCACTCATTCCTTCTTTTGTTTTATGGTTCCAGAAATGCAACGAGACCCAATTCGTGACTGCTGGCTTCTCTCATGTACACACGGAGGCACACACACACACACGTGTGTTTCCGATATAGTACACACTCAACGGCAACACGACTTCAGAGGAGGGCGTAAGGCTTCAATCGTCACAGAGGGTTGCGTGACAAACTGTGACACGGGTAGAAGCATACACTTACACACTCGAAAAAAAAGAGCAGGAAAAACGGTTTTAGTTTATTTCCAACACACGTCTTCGCACCTTATATATATATATATATATATATAAAGCAAAGAATATGCCAGAGTGAAACAACAGTACAACAGTAAATGGGCATCCGTTCTTCGGCGCGTGCACATTTCGTTTTCATTTACGCAACACGACACCAGCGGAAAGCCACTAAAGGAAAAAATTGACAAAAAAAACCTTAGTCGTCTCTCGTTAGTGGTAATCCGCAACATACTCGCCGGCATTAACCATCAATAACTCGGGCCTCGCATTTCTACCACCACAACGTCAACCTATCCACTGCCTGTAGCACGACCTTCGCGAATTCTGCGAACAAACCTGCTATAGCGGATGTGCACAATGACAGAAAAGACAGTGGCCACGGCAGCAACGCATGTGGCGACAATGATCGGAAGACGCACGCACTCAGGCACAGTGCACTCCTCATCCGGTCCAAAGCCCAGACTGTCATGCTTCGCGTCCACCGTGAAACCAAAGAGGAAGCGGTTGAATCCAATCACAGACACCACCGACGTCAAGAAGCCGATGTTGTAATACACGCCGTGGTTGCCCTCGTACAGGCATGGGAAGATCAGAGCACACATGGCAGCAAACACACCTTCTTCAAAGTACACAATGATGTACGGGAGTAAAATGATCTCACCAGGGAGAGTCAGCAGCAAGATGCCTGCAACAAAAGCAAGGAATGGTGAAACGGGTAACGCAAGCGTCACCAAGTAGCGGCGGTTGTCCGGGGCCTGCTGCTGCACAAAGGCCTCGAACATTCCCATACCAATCCGGCCTAGGCTGCTGCCAACACCAAGGAAGGCAGTGTACAGTGCCGAGGTTTGTAAACTGCGTTCGTGTCCAGCCACCGCCACAGAAATGGTGCTCGCATTGTACATGACGATAACACCAAGTGCGCTTTGGCACACGAATGTAACGAAGAGCAAGTATATGTCCGGTCGCTTCAAGTTGTCCGACAGGCTCCCGCCATAGCGCGGGTCCTGCAGGGACTCTATGTCAGCGTCCGCATCCCAAGCACCTTCGTCACCCAGGGCCACCAGATCATTGTCAGGGGCGCTTGCCGGCATGACAGACCCCATCGCGCCCAAATCCTCGCAGCCCTTGCAGCCCATCTGCCTCATGTCGGTGCCCTCCATGAATTCACGGTCAAAGCTGTTGTCGCTGTCGTCGTCGTCCACGCCCCCTAACCACCGGAGAGGCAGCATCATAAAGAAGAAGCACAACACAAGTGCAATTGTGATTACGCCAAGCGCAATCGACCACCCACGCGACACCTCCGTGTAGCTTACCACAGGCGTCTCGACGGTGAAGAACACCAACAGTACACCCACGACAGCGTAGCCTACACCGAGACGGCGGACGGGGACGAACTTGCGGTAGTACGCAGGCTTCAGCGCCTCCAGAGCGGCAATCTGCTCCGGCGTCTTCCCACGGCGCCGCCAGCCGTTGATGAAGTACGGCGGAAGCACTATCATGAAGGACGCCACGGCACACACGACGATTGCGAGCGCCATAATGAAGTAAATAAAGCCGGCAATATTCTCGTTGAAGATGTTCACGCTGAGTGAGGACAGCACCGAGCTTCCAAGACTGGTCATCACTTTCGCAAGCGCAATGACGGGCCCACGGTTGCGAGGAAACGTCTCCGCCAGCGTCACAATATACGCGACATCAATGAGGCCGCTGCAAGTGTTCAGAAGAGCGTAGAAAATAGACAAGTTCAGCACATTCCCCTCAATGACACCGTCGAACGTCAGAGCAAGCAAAAGCGCACCAAGCCCTCCGGTAAAAAAACATACCACAATCAAGGGGAAGGGGCCGGCATAGTCGTACAAGAAGCCGTACGGCAACGTGAAGTAGCAGAACACGAGACCTACAGTGCTGATCGTCGACTGGTCGCCGACGCTTAGGTGGAAGCGGTTTGCAAAGTCCGTTGTGAAAAGGTCGAATGCGTACACGAGCGACGTGCAGATGCTGCAAAACATGCAGCACACAAGCAGGCGAAACCGCTGCATCTCATCAACAGGAGGAAGGCCCAAAGCTTTGCGTCGCTCCACAGCCGCTGTCTGGCTAAATATGTTATGATGTACCCTTCGCATCATTAGATACTATTAAAATCTTTGAGAACAGCAGGGGGAGAAGGGGCGAGACGGTTTTATAGCAGCTCCAGTGTTTAAGAGAAGCAAGACATCAGGCCAGACCTCCTGCAATGCCTATGTGATGTTGGCAGGGTGAATTTCATCGCTAGCGTAAAAATAACACCAAGTTTAAATTGCCTTTTTGGTGCCGGTTGCTGTTTTTTTTCTTCCGTTCCCTTTACAACCGCATTTCCCCCCCCCCTTTTTTTTGTTTTTCTTTTAGCGCAGCTCCTTCGCAAACTGACGTCATGTTTCGTTTTGGGCCTCTACACATTACAACTGTAGAAGGCGAAAGTCAAATACAAAAATAGATGTTTTGATGCTGTAAAACAAGAGCTATGGGCGACCGTTTATGGTAGAATGTCACCCAACACAACCCAGGATAAAATGCAGCATGTGCATCAAGGGCTCCCCTACAGGATGGGAGCAATCTCCTTGCCCTCTGCGAGCTTCTGCAGAAGGGCCTCGCAGTTCATCAAGCAACGTGGGTGATGGAACGGCCCCTTCCACAATGACCCCTTCTGCGTGTGTGACACAGTACCATCGCGGTGCAGATAGCCGTACCACTCACCGTGCTCCTTGTCAGCAAAGTGACCGAATGAGTATAAGTGGAGACGCTCAAACCACTTGAAGTATTTCTCGTCCTTTGTGATACCATAAGCCATCAGCGTGGCAATTAGCGCCTCATTGTGCACCCACCATAGCTTCATGTCCCACTCCAACTGCTCACAGGGTCGTTTGTCCACATCCACAAAGTACAGAATGCCACCAAACGTTTCGTCCCAACCCCACTCCAATGACCAATTCAGAATGTTTAATGCCTTCTCAAGCAGCTCCTTATCGTTTGAGTATACCGCCTCATTCATCAGGAACCATGCATTCTCAATAGAGTGACCTGGATTGATGCATCGCCCGGCCGGTGTGTCAATCCGGCCTCCATCAGGAGCAACGCACTCCAGTACGCAGCGGCACTCGGGTTTGTAGTGGTACTTGATAATGATGTCAACCATCTCTCTGGTAATCTTCGAGTAGTACTCCGCCTTCGCCGGGTTGCAGCGGCGCAGCAACTGAGCGCAGCTCACCAGTACCATTGGAACTGCGGACACTCGGTCACTCCGGGTTTCTGCGTACCCCTTGGGCGTGATCTTGAACGGATCAGCCTCTGGTGTGCGGAAAAGCTTCAGCATAAGCTCATATCGCTCCTCGGCCTTCCGTATCGCCTCCTTGTCCCCGGCTGCAAGACCATACTCCGCCATGGCAACAACGTAGAAGCTCTCAGAGTACATGTACCGACGTTTCCTCAGCGGTTTTCCGTCCGCCGTCACAGTAAAGAACATCCGGCCATCGGCGTCAGTGCAGTGCTTCTCTAGGAAGTCTTTCCCCAATTTCGCGGCCTCCAGCCACTCATCATGCATTCCATAACGGTTGATCAAAGCAGAGAAAGTCCACAGGCACCTTCCCTGAAACCACACCGACTTGTCGCTGTTGTAGCAGCGGCCAGTTTTGTCCACAGAGGTAATATACCCCCCGTTCACCCGGTCAATAAGATCTGACTGCATCCAAAATGGGATACAGTCGCCCATCAGCTGGTCGTGGTAAAACCGCCGATATGACTCAATGGTTTCCGTCTTGATAGGCATTTTGTCGGGGATTTATGTCCTTATCGTTGATGATTTACTGTTTCTTCTTATCTGTGTATGTGTTTTCTTCGTTGTTGTTGTTTTGTATCGTTGCGCATATCCAAAAAAGAAAGCAGGGAAAAACATATCCATGACGCCGCGGGTGGAGAATCAAAATGGCGAGTACGTCACACGCACTGACCTCTCCACCACGTTCAGGAATACATCTACGTGTTACACGCAGCTGGCACACAAGAAAGAGGGGGCCACACGCCGCCGCGACACGTCACAGCACCTGCTCAAGAACAGCATGGAGCGTCTCGAAACCCTTCAACTCACGCAGGCGCTCCCGCTGCGACTCCTCCGCGCAGCACCTCGAGAGCGCTATCGCGAGGTTCTTCTGTGCAGCCTGGGCGTGGGTCCACCGCGCAGTGCCCTTCTTGCCGTCATGCTCTAATGCGAATATGGCCTCGCGCACACCCCGCAGGCCCTCCAAAAGCACCTTGACACCCTGAAGCGCCTCCCAGTGATCGCAACCAGTGGGGGGAACGAGGGATCCCAGCAGCGCCGCATTCCCCAACGCAACCATGTGCTGGTCCCCCGCGCAGCGAATAATGCGTAGCAAGACGGCAATGCGGTTCCGAGACGCAAGGCCTTTTTCCTTTGGTAGGAGGCCCCGAGAATAAAAAGAGGCAAGACAGGTTGTCACATGCTCCACAAGTTCCATGTAGACAGCCTCACTTGACACTCTGTCAGTGTCATTTGACGCTGCGTCAGAGACGGCGTTGGAGGAGGCTTCTTCGAGTGATGCAATCGCTGCTTCCAGTATCGACCACAGTGTCTCCTCCCCCTCCAACATTGCAACTCGAAGAGACTCATCGTGCGGGAAGAACTTGGAAATAACCCCCATCATTTTTGAACGAGCAGTTATACCCCCCGTTGACGCTCCGTTTGAGAGGACTCGATCGCATAGCGACCGCCATGTACGCAACGCAAAGGAGGGCTCGCCTCTGCAGGCTGGATCCGTTGCGAACCGCCACTGTTCCACGTACTGAGACCGCGACTCCGACTGCAGGAAGAGGTTATACACCAAAGCATATAGACCCTCCTCTGTGCGTGGTGACAACGAATTACCACAACCCTTCTGAGGCGGTGGCAGCAAAGCCACCAGAAGGCGGTTGAAATCCAAGGAGCTCATTGCCTTGGCCCAATCTCTGCTGGCATATGATGCACGCACCGCCAAGGAGAGGCCGGCTTCTTGCAACTGCTCCGGTCCCGTCGTGAGGGCCATCTTGACGACGTGTGGCAAACGCCCTCGGGCCACCTCTGTGAAAGCCACTGTAACGCTCGGCTCCTTGAGTAGTGCCTCCAAGACACCGCAGTAAACAAAAAGCAGTGATGGATCAGGTTGTCGTTTGGACATTGCATCCCATGCCATCATTATCGCCGCACCGCAATGCGTGTGCACTTGAACTGGGAAACGCACTGCCAGACCCTCCAACAATTGCAGAATGGCGATTGTCAAGGCCTTTGCAGCGCCCTCACGATTCACCGCAGATTCCTGCTTTATGGCAGACGCCAGTGCTTCAGCTAAATTCACCGAGAGATCCGTAACAGTGGAAAGCTCCAATTCGTCAGCGCCTGTCTCACTTCCGAGGAGAATAAGAGCTAGAAGGCGAGCAGAGACAACAAATACCATTCTACTCGTCGACATTCGTACTCCTGTGTCATCGCCCACAGAACCAAAAAGTCCCTTTCCTCCGTTACAAAGAAGTGCACAGACGAGCTCCGTCAGTGGTGGCATACCGTTGAAGAGGACGAACAGCATGGCAGCACCGCAATGAAAGGACTGAATCACCATAAGGCAGAGGCGCACATTCTCAGCGGCCTGCACCAACGCCACATTCTCATTGTCTTGTTCAGCCTCACCTTCCCCATGGTTTTCGTCGGTGTGCTTGGCGTGAGCCTCGCGCAATACCGCTACAGCGGTGGTCAATGCGCCAACAGCATCCTTCAAACGTTTTGCCTCTTCCGGGTGATGGTGCTGGAATACGGCGCACGTGCCGTGCTCTTTCTTTGCCCGTAGAAGCCAGTGTGCAAGCTCCACAGCCTCCTTGCTAGTTGGTTCCCTCTGTAGCGCTGTCTCGGCATCCTTCAGCGCATCTACGGGGCGATGCAGGTGTCTCAGCGCTGTCGAGCGCCGAAGCAGCGCCTTCATGTTTCTTGGCTCCCCCTGTAGCACATAACTCGTGTCATCCACAGCGTCGAGGTAGTGCTTCAGCTTTAGCTGCACAAGGGCACGGTTGTTTCGAAGCGTGCGCTGAAGTACTTCATCCACTGTATTGAGGGTGATCGCAGTTGTGTAGAGCTCGTGTGCCTTTTCCCATTCGGCTGCCTTAACGGCCCTCGCTGCCTCTTCCTTCAGCCGAAGTGTCTCCTCCAAAGACACCCGCTCCGCTCTGCTGTAACAGGACGTGTCATTACAAGCCCCTAGGCGCTTGCCGCCCTCTTGGTCAACCTCTTTCAGCAGCTTATCAATGACCTCATCATTCTCAAAGCGGGTGTAGTACCGTGGATCGTAGCGCATCTTTACTTTCTCGCGGTTTTCCTTCGCTTCATTTTCACGGCGTAGGGCCTCCCGCTCTTGCCGTCTCTGTGCCGCCTCCATTGGATCCTCATTCAGTATCTCCTCGACGGACGCCGTAATTTCGTCGATGCGCTCAAGCCACTCTTCCACCTCCTGCCGCGACGGTGCCATGCCCTCGTGCTGGTTTGTTGACATGACTTGTGCGTAATTGTTCGCCCTGTTGTCTATTTTAGGTTTCAACACGTTATAGAAAAGGGGGGGGTGCATAGCCAGACCGCTTTTTCTCACCCCTCAGAGCAGAAAAGAAGAAAGCGCACACACAGACACACACACAGACAGTGACCGTTACACCCTTCCCCCGCAACTTCATACACCATCACCACTACCACTACCACTTTCACCAGCAACATGGCGCCTCCTCCTGTGAAGCGCGCAGTTCCAATCCGCAGCGCCGCCACTGCTCGCCAGCTCGATGCTGTGCTCCTCAAGGAAAGAGGCGCGCACAACCTCTGTGAAGCGGCGGTCCACACCGTCAGCATCGGTGATCTGCTGCGCCGACAATGTCACACGCTGCGCATTGGGTTGTGTCGCGGGATTCATCAACCCTTCTAAAACGTCCTTATTTGCCCCATAAAAGAGGAAAAGAAGAAACTCAAGCATGGGACGTCGTCCCGACTCCAAGAGCCCAGTGGCATCAATCAGCATCACCAGCACCACCCTGGGAATAGCAAGATATACCCCCTCCCCCCCACCACCACTTGCATCACCCCCTCAAGCAAGCTATTTGACATCCCCTTATCATGATAGTGCGTTTCCGCATGCAAATTACTCTAGATATCTTCCCCAATAATCTCGGCATCGTCATTGTCTTCATCGCAAGCTGCGCACCCCGACGCCGCTGTTTTCCGGCAGCACGTACACGTGCCACCATTACACCGCACCTCACCCGAGTTGCTGAAGCACGACGCCGCGTCGCTGAGTGGAGCACTGCACAGGTATGAATAGCCCCTTGAGCGGCAGTAGCCGCAGTCAAGCTCCGCGCTTACTGTCGGGGCGCCACACAGCAACGCCAAGAACAACACGGTTACAAAAGCCACAATTGCGCGCAGCCGCATGGTCACGTTGGCACCCAAAGCAAATCAGATGTTTTGTTAACGTACGCACAAAGACGTAATACTCAATGTTTCTTCCTACGGCGAGCGAAGAAGAGAGGCGTATGGAGAAGCCAGCAGGCAGCGAACAAAAACACAACAAAGAAGCCCCAATATGCGCAGCACTTTGAGCTTCGTTTCTTTTGGTTTCATTTTTCATGTTCAGTCTCTCCACGCCCAGGAAAAGGGAAAAAGGAAAACAACGCTACATATATTTAAACATCTCTTTGGATTGGGCACAGTCAGGCCTCGTCGTAGTCTTCGTCCCCCTCGTCGGCGACGACAGGCACAAGCAGTGCTGCCCGCATTGTGGCGTCTACGAGGCCGCCGGGCGCCACGAAGAGTCGCTCCAGCGCCCGGCGCGCCCGCTCATTGAAGCTCCGCACCGCTTCAAGCACGCGCGTGTCGGCGCCGTGCGGCCCGCGGTGCTGAGCGTCCGGCACCACCTCGTCGGCGTACAGAAGGTCTGCGAAGGCCGCCTCGTCGTAGTCGAAGACGTAACGGCGCAACAGCTCTAAGTGCTCGTCGCTCAGCATCTCGGCGACGGCTGTGTTGTAGCGGCACAGCGCCTGTGGGGTTAGGAATGGTGTTCCGTCTAGGAATGATTCGAGCGCGTAACGGAAGCGGTAGGGCGGTCCACCACTCGACGCGTGTTGACGCGCTGCCATTCCCGTCAATATGGCGCTGCTCGCACGCAGGACAGAGCACACCAGAGATGCGCTCTTTTCCTCTACCCGCTGTCTGCGCCGTGATCGCCGCACCTCCTTCTGCATTTGATGAAGCCACTCCCGCGTCTCGGCGATGCGTTGGGTGATGCGCTCGGTACTTGCGCCGAGTTCGCTACCGAGGGACGACATTCCCCGCGGCGGAATACGGAACGACGACGGCGTGTCGCTGCGCGCGTATGCAGTGCCGCTCGTCTGGGCGTAGAGAGGGCCGGTGTTGGTACCAGCAGCATATTTGGAGTACCCGTGCGACATACCGCCGCTCAAATACCCTTTGCGATAGTCGAAATGCGCGCTTTCGAGCACCCCTTCTTGGTGGCAACAAGGCAGACGAGCAGAGCAGCAGGAATAACGCTCCCGAGACGCACATGACCACATACACAAGTCCACTCGCCCACTCGCACATTTACCCAAACAGAGATCGCACCACATCCGCACCGCACATCCCTCACGGGTGGAGCAGATACACATTTTAGGAGCAAGCCCCTCTGTCGCACGCACCTCACCGATGTGAAAACTCCCAAACACAACAAAACAGAATATATATATAAGCCATAATCAAATATAAAAAAAATACCCACTGACCCACCGCTAAGGCAACTTGCCAAGAAGATGCCGCGGGCCATCCGGCCAAGACTGCAGGGCGCACTTTACCGACATCCTCTCCATCCACTCCGCCTCGCGCAGCATCTCGCTGAGGGAGTCGCAAATAAGAGCTGCATTGTCCTTGTCGTTGTCATCGCCGCCGCAGAGAAGCGCGAGAGTCTCACGAATCCGCTGCGTCACCTNCCCGCCGGTCTGGCAGTGTCAGCGGCGCCCGCCCGCCCGACCGGTGGGGAAGAGCGGAGGGCCGCACACCGAGCCAGCGGGCGGGAAGCAACGGTGGGAATTGCCCCACCCAACCGTCGCGGCGGCGGCGGCGGCGGCAGCGGCGCGACGATGCGGCGCCTTCGCTGTCACCAAAGAGCCCCATGAACGTGAGGGCGATGCGCAGACCATGCGGGTCTCCGTCCACAAGCACGAAGAGCGGCAGTGCCGGCAGCTCGCGGTGGAGACGGTGAAGAAACGCGCGCGACGCCCGGCACGGGTACCCCTTGCTGCACAACAGGGCGCAGCGGTGCAGCGGCTCACCACTGTTCAGCGACCCCACTAGTGCATGTAGAGTGCTCTCTTTCTCCACAATGACGACTGCGGACGGCACACCGCCACCCCCCGCTGTGCTGCGAAAATGGCAAGCATGCAGGCCAATGGTTGTGTTTACGAGGACCCCAGCGGGTTGGCGCATGGCGTCAATCTCCACAAGAAGCGCCGGGGATCCAGTGGCACCCGCGACCACCTGCGCCTCGCGTGGCGTATCGCTACATCCACCTGAGCTTTGAGGAACGTCAAATGCCAAATGGCCAATGAGAATACTTTTGCCACTGGCACCAATGCGAATGCCCTCGCGTGTGAAACGGCGCGGCCGCGCAACACATATGCTGGCGTCATCCGCACTGTGCGGCATGGCGAGAGGAGAGAGAGGGCGAGCGCAATCCATCCAGCGGCAGAGACGCTTAATGCTGCAATGAGTATCGCGTTGTCCATTTGGGAAAAGCAGCGTGTCCCGATAGTACACATCACGCTCTGTACATGTCAGTCCCTCCCGCACCATCTCCACAACACAAGCGAGCACGTAGAGGGTTTGCGCGTCTCGCCGCAACGTACCCATCTTCTTTTCAGCTGTACCCTTGTTGCCTTCGCGGAGCCTCGGTGGTGCTTGTTCTGTGACGAAAAATGCGGCGCCGAGGCCATCGCTCGACTGTGACGAGGCGTTTGTATGAACAACATCGGCTACTTTAAACAAAGAGGTGAGGTACGCGTGCACAACGGCCTCTGCCGCGCCCACTATCTCCTCGTCGCTGAGCATACATATAGATATATTTCTTTTTCTTGTGTCTGCTGCTGTCAGCTAAGCATGTTGAGAAATGGAGGGGGTGAGATGTAGACGGGTCATCAATTCAGGGATCGACTCGTACCGCGCCGGTTGTTTCATTCCTCCGCGGGAAGTCTGCATCATCCCTCCCGCTTCCTTTTGTCTTTTCTTTGTATAATCTTTTTCTCTCACGCAGAGACTCGTAGTACGTTGTATGCTACATATGGATGTGATTCCATGAACAGGTGGGCGGTCCACGGCTCTCGGGGTCCGCGCCGCCCCCCCATTGCTGCAAGTGGCGGTGTGAGAAGCGTTATTATTGTAGTCTTCGCCCAGTTCAACATGTAATGAGCTTTTGCTGTGAAGTCAAATTAGCAAAAAAAAAAACGGAAAAAGACTTCATCCGTTTCAACGAGAAGTCGAAAAAGAAAGAAAAAAAAGGACTTTTATACTCTCTCTCTCTCTCTCTTTCTCTCTCTCTCTCTTCGGCCTGCACATGCAAATCTTTTTTTTTGTCTTCATCTTGTTTACATCTGCTGCAGGACCGCCAGAACTCTGCGGAACTCCTCGTAAGTGGTGCGGCCGTCCCCGCGATGCACCATGCCCTCGAAGAGTTTCTTCACTGTCCCCCTCGCGAGCGGCAGCCCGTAGAAATCCAGCGCCTCAATGTCCCTGCGGAAGGCCTCGCCATCAATGGACCCCGTCATGCTCGCCGGGGCAGAGGCAGCAGCAGCAGCAGCAACAGGAGGCGTCAACACATCCCCGCTCTCGCTGTTCGTGCCCCCGCTGTCGCCGCCGGTGCGACCGCCGTAGTACGACCAGAGCCGTGTCACGTCCTCCTCGCCGAGGCTCAGCAGCGCCGCACGAACCCACTCGCACGACGTCCCACTGCGCGCGGCAGTGCTGTCTACACTGTCGCCCTGGAGCACATATCTGTCGCCGACCCTCCCCCCGGCAATCCTCTCGCGTCTCGCCTGCTGCTCCTCCTCAAGTTGCTCCTGTGCCTCCTCCACCTCGCACGGGGGCGAGATGGGCACGAAGAATCCCTCGTGCTCGCTGATGAGGTCGACAAACTCCTTTGTATCGAGCTCGTATGTTATGCTAAACATGCGGCTAGTCACCCAGTCACCGCCAGGCGTACCGCCTGTGTAGCGCACCAGCGGGTTCTCCTTCCACTCAAGCAGCTCTGTGGGGTCGTGGTCGAGGAGAGAAAGGGCGCGGACGAGTGGGTCAGGCGCCAAGTCGCCGGTGCCGCACCACAACTCGCGTTCCATAAAGGCCTGCAGCGGGCCGCCACTCGCGAGAACAATGTTGTCGACTCGGTTGGGCCGCGACGGGAGCGCTACCTCCTCCCACCCGCTGTACAGCCGACCGCGCAATGACGTTTCAGTGGAGTTAGCAGGGTCCACGTCACCAATCACATCCTGCAGGAACTGGTGCCAGCTGCACTTGCGCTGGTCCCAGCTCACCACGTAGCAGTGGATGTCCCGCATCCCCGGCCCCGCCTGGAGCATGCGCTCACGCTCAAAGGGGAAGAGTGCGTTGACAACGTAGACACCCTCCGCGTGGAACTTCATCACCTCCATGTCGTAGGCTAGCTGCACATGTTGTTGTTGCGGCAGCGACCACTTCACGTAGAGCTGTGACGGTGTCATGGAGAAGCGGTTGAGGGCGTCAAAGGCGCCCAGCACACGCCTCGACGACACGGCGTACTCCCACTGTTCATTAAAAGCCTCGTAGAACTGTACCCTTCCCTCCTCCGTCACCTCCGGGTAATTGTGGAGGTAATTGTGCGTCGCATAGTACATGGCTGAAGAAAGATGCTTGTCCACTAGTCGGGGGTAGCTCTGCTTGCGGATCTCTTGTCTCACTCGTATATGATTCGCCGCGAGGATCTCTTCCAGCAATGCCAAAACTTTGAGGTTATCAGAAGCATGCGGCTTTACGAGGATCATGGCAGTATTTTGGTGCAATAGTGTAGATTCCGTCTCGGGCGCCGTACCTCCCCTCTGGTGGGGCACAACGCCTCTCTCCGATTGTTGATGTTCCCCCTGATGCTGCAACGATGTGTCCTTGTCGTCGTTGTCGCTGTCGGTTGTGTGGAGCGTATCATGCGGCTTACCCTCCTCCACTGGAATGCGTGCTGCATCCCCGCCCGTCTCTTGGTTCAGCTCATCTGTGAGCGCTGTCAGCAGAACCAGCAGACGCGACGTGTCACAGTGACGCAGGTGCTCAAAGACACCGGCCTCGACTCCGCCCGATGTGACATCGGGGTTCTCGAGCCACACACGCAGAACTCGCTCCGGGACGCCGTGGCGCAGCATCACATCACCGAGGTAGTCCTCCGGCAGTGCATAGTGGAGGCATTTCGTGCGCTCCCGCATTGCCTGCAGTGCGCCTTCGCTCACGTGAAGCCCATTGCGCAGCATATCAGGCTCTGTGGTGAGACCGTACTCCTGCCAGCGCTGAAACAGCTGCCCGCGTATGCTTTGCGGCTGCGCCGACATTGGGAACTCGTCGCCGATGACATGCGTGAGGAACGCGGGCCAATTCATGCCCGCCTCCTCCCAAGACACGACGTACCAATGCAGCAACACGTTGGCGGCCTCGAGGGACTGCTTCAGCTCGGGGAAGAAGCCATTTACAACAAAGATACCGCGCTCCTCCAGCTCCGCAATGACAAGATCGGGGCGGATAGTCAGCAGCCGCTTCGACGCACGCCAACGGTCGTACAAGTGCAGCGGCGTGACACCACCCAGCACCTCCAGCGCCTGGTACGCATTGACGACAACGCCGCTGTCGACAAGCTGCTCCCAGGCGATGCCAAGTTGCCGCCGCACCGAGTCACGCTCCTCTTTGGTGAGGCGAATCGTTGCGACGTCACGCACAGCGTAGCGCGAGGCAGTGGCGTAGAGATGGTGCACGAGGCCACGACCCTTCACGATAGCGCCGCTCAAGTCACCCTCCTCGTCAATGCGCACATGCGCGCGCGCGAACACCGTCTCAATTGTCGCTGCGAACGGCCGACACAATGCATGGCTCTTGACAAGCACAAAGGCAGAATTGCGAGGCGGAGCAGCGCGGTGCCGCGCGTCCTCGGCGATGATGAGCCGCAGCACCGCCGCCGAGCCCTTCCCTCGCACCGTGTCGAAGAGGTAGCGGCCGTCGCCGCATGCCGAACGTGGGTTCCCAAGAGCCCATCGCAGCACATACGGTGAGACGCCTAACTGCTGCATCGCAAAACGACCAACAGCGTCGTGCGATAAGCCCAGCGACATCCACAACTGCCGCTGCTGCATCGCCTCCAGGGCGCTGGTTGATGTTATGACGGCCCCCTCGAAGGGGTCGGGTGGACACTGCAGACCAGCCATCCTCCACTCGTCGAGCAATACACGCTGCAGACTGCCGGGCTCCGCCACCTCCACGTACGGGTCCCCAATGACGTGCTGCAGGTAGTGCGCGTAGTCGCCATCTGTGTTGTCCCAGGAGACCAAGAAGTACCTCTTCACGGTGTCGGACATGTTGAATGCCTCTGCGCTGTGTAGAGCAAAGCCGTTGACGAGGTACACGTTGCGGTCTGGCACCTTCCCAATGTAGAGAGACGGCGCTATCCGTTTACGTGGTGTACACGCGTCCCAAGTCTCCTTGAGACGCGACGCCGAAAGGTTAAACTCTATGGCGTACTCCACAGCATTGCGGATCCTTCGCGTGTCCCACAGCTCCCCAAAGACGTTGAAAAACTCCGTCATGGCGTCCGTGTCGATGACGTACTGAGACGGCGTCTGCTTAACGGCGTACTTGAACACCTCCGCCTGAAGCTCGTCGGCCATGTGGCGCAAGGTCGCCGCGATACCCCGCACGGTACCCCCCGCCTCCACGCGTATCTTGTGGCGCTGCAAGAAATCTGTCACGTAGGCCGCAACCTGTTCTTCACCCTCGCCACGCATACATTTGGGATTCATCAGTACAAAGGCGTAGTTCCGCGTCATGGACTTGGCAGCATCCACACTTACATCCCCACTTAACTCCTGTTCACCTGCCGTTGTCGCTGCTTCTGCTCCTGTCGCTGCTGTTGCCGCCGCCGGCGTGTTGGTCGCGTCACCTGCCCCCTGCGCAGCTGCAGGCGTCGCAAGATGGGAAGGCGAGGACGGAAGCGCTCCACCGCTGCTTGNTTGGCAGCATCCACACTTACATCCCCACTTAACTCCTGTTCACCTGCCGTTGTCGCTGCTTCTGCTCCTGTCGCTGCTGTTGCCGCCGCCGCCGCCGCCGGCGGCGTGTTGGTCGCGTCACCTGCCCCCTGCGCAGCTGCAGGCGTCGCAAGATGGGAAGGCGAGGACGGAAGCGCTCCACCGCTGCTTGGGCGCTGGGGAATGACGCGCATCCCACCGGATGCCTCAAGACCAATGAGCTGTGCAATCAGGAGCGGATTCTCGGTGCAGAGCTTATCAAAGACGTCGCTCGCCGCATCAATGGGCTCGTCACGGTGACGCACCAGCGGGTTAAGCAGGAGAGAGCGCAGGTACTCCGCACCCACTCCGCCCTGAATGAGCAGCCGGCCAAAAACATCGTTCTCCACGTTCATGCCGAGCCACGCCACGCGGTCAGCAAGTCCCTCAATCGGCGAGGCAGAGGCGTGGAAGCCGTTGTCAATGCCGTCCGGTGGTCGCTGCAGACCCAGCGCCTCCCACGATAGCGAAAGCGCATGCCGCAGCGATGCCTCCGCCGCCATCGCTGGGGTATCACTGCCAATGACGTAGTTCTGAAACTCGTCCCACGTCATAATCTCCCCGTCCCAGGACACGACATACCAGTAGATGCGGGCACCAGTGTACATGCGGGAACGCAGATATGGGTAGAAGCCGTTGATGACGAAGAGGCCCTCCTCTTCGAGATAGGCCACGTACAGGGTGGGCGATAGACACACCTTACGCGGCGCGCCGTCCCACGCTTCTAGTAGCTTCAGAATACCCAACCGCTCCACCGCCTGCGCTGCGTTAATGATCATGTGCAAACTCACCGCCGTTGTCCATGTGATGCCGAAGGTGCGCTCAAACTCCACCATTTGTTTTATCGTAATGGGCAGCTCACCGACGCTGCGCGCCATGGCGTTGCGGTAGAGAGCGTTGTACTGCTGGTCCACAAGCAACTTCTCAACCACCTCCTCCATTGGGATCTGGCCGGAGGAAACCACTTCAATGCGGTGGTCCTCCAATGCGGTGGGGATCCACTCCGCCACCTCTGTGGTGCAGGCATGCGGCTTCACCCAAAGGAAAGCGTAGTTCATCTTCATCGCCCGCATGTGGCGCGAGGTGAGGGTCTTGAGTCGACGCACAACCTCGCTGCTCTGTTGGTGCTGCGAGAGCGCACTCCGCGTGTATACAGGCGCAAAGCCACCGGACATCCGTAGCTGTTGTATTTGTTGCTGCCTCGGCGACTGCGGCTCTTCTGGTTGGTCTTCGTAGTACTCGTCCCGCACGTAACGGAGGAGCAGCGACAGTGGCACACCATCGAGTAGTAAATGCTGCACGAACAGGTCCTCCGCTATCTCCGCGCAAAGCCACCTCTCACGGTCAGCGGCGGCCTCCAGTGGGCCCTGCGACGCATATAACGGGGCAGTCGTGTGTGACAACGGCCGCTGCCGCAGCTCAAAGTCCGTCCACTCCTCCGCCAATGTGCGCTGCAGGCTGCCGTGTGCGGCAGCAGAGGGATCGGCGATGTCGCCAATTAGTACTTCACAAAAATCGTGCCATGTCCATGCGCTCTCCTTCCACTCCACCTCCAGCACGTGCACACGGCTACCTGGCTTTCCGTAGCTCTCACGGACGAAGGGGACGAATCCATTAACAACAAAAACGTCATGCGACATCAATGAGGCAGCATAGCAGGCAGGACCAAGTTTCTTCTGGTTGGACGTCTCACACAACTGCAGCAGCTCTGTTGGTGTCAGATTCAACTTCTCACATGCATCGGTGGCTCCGAGAAGCTTCCCCTCTTCTAGGCAATAATCCCAAGGGCTGTGAAACAATTCTTGGAATTTGTTCTTGATGGACGAACTCACATCACTGAGCAGAGCATCAGGCTTAAAGTTGGCGAACCGCTCCACAGCAAGGAATGGTGCACTGCCAAGGTAGCGTTCCACCACACGGTTGCTGAAGAGGGAAACTTCCCGCGTCACATGTACATCCACAGCACTGAGAGTTTGTTTCACTGTTTCAATCGTACGCTCATTTACCGCAAATGGCCTGATGATCACAACTGCACGATTCAATGGTGTCTCAATGCATGTCGTCAGTGCCTGTTGCTCTGCCTCACGCATGACGTCCACCATCTCCGAGGTCTGCATGTTCTCAAGCAAGTCAAAGACGCAGCCGGATCGTTTTCCATCGCGCAACACCACCTCCGGGTTTGACCCCCAATGATACAAAAGTGCCCCTGTCAAGCCGCATTCCTGCAGCCGCAGTGTGAGGGGATCGTGGGAAAGGGGTGCGCAGGTCCACAGGTGGCGCTCCAGTACCGCTTCAAGTGGCCCTGCCGACGCGTGAACACCGTTGTCTGTGGTGGTGGGCGGGTGCTGCAGCCCCAAATCACGCCAGCGGTCGCGTATGAGCCCGCGCAGACTACTTGGGTCTGCATTACCGGGGTTCGTGGTGCCGATAAGTTCTTCACGGAAAGCGCGCCACGTCAAGCATGACTCCGGCCATGAGAGGACGTAGCAGGACACCCTTGCGTCGGGTGCGCCGTATGTGTCGCGCAAGTATGGGTAGAACCCGTTAATCACAAACACACCCTCATTGCAGAAGTGCGCCACGTACGCCCCGGTGGTGAGCTTCACGGTTTTGGTGCACGCGCCCCACATCCCATAGAGCTCGTCGGCGGATATCTCTCCAAGGACGTGCATGGCGGTCTCAGCATTCCACACGCGGCCGCAACGCACCGCCTCTTTCCACGAGACACCAAACGTTTCCTTAAAAATGCTCCTGCGGTGCTTGCTGACATTAATAGATGCTGGTGACACCTTCACAGCGTAGCGTGATATTGTCCTGTAGTGCTTGTCCATCACTTGCCGTGAGGTAATCTCGCTACCAAGGACATGGCGCTGGCTGACAACCTGCATTCCATTCACCTGCATCAGTCGCTCCTCCACGAGCGCCCGTGTTTCAGGCGTGTTAGCGTGTGGCTTCACAAACACCAAAGCCCTGTTCCGTCGCTCCTCAGCATCCTCGTCGTCCAGTACAATTGTCCAGTCTGCCGTACGTGAAATCGCAAGGGTTTCGCACACACCATTGGAGGTGTTCACTGTACTTTTCTGTTTTTCCGTGGCGTATAGAACTGCTGCGTGGTGCAACACCTCGCTACTCTGCATGTTCTCCAGCAGCTCAAACACTGATCGGTTTTCGCCCTCATACGACATGGTGGGGTTCTTTGCTAATTTCTCCACGAAAGTCAACGGTACACCCTCCTGCAACAGAGCGCGACCAAAGTCGTCCTCCGTGGCACGCCGGTGCATCCACACGAAACGAAGCGCCAAAGCCTCGAGTGGTCCGCTCGCACATTCAAGTCCATTGTTCATGAGGCTCGGTTGCTCACTGAGCCCATACGCCGCCCAATTCTCGTACAGCAGTCGGCGGAGAGACGTGGGCTCCGCCTCGCTGGGGTCCGCCGCGCCGAGGACCTCCAGCCGGAAGCGCTTCCAGGTATACTTTGACTCCGGCCACGACACGATGAGGATGCATGTCTGGCTCTCCGGCGCGGTGAAGGACTCCAGCAGCCTCGGGTAGAAGCCATTAATCACGTACATGTTTACCTTCTTGAAGTAGGATACATAGAGGCCGTGCTCAAGCCGGGCGCGCGACTTGGACGCCCACCACTGCTCATCCAGCTCCTTCTGCGTGAGACCGAGAATGGTCATGGCGTCCTCTGGCGTTAGCACACGTCGCTCCTCCATTACAGTCTCCCACAGCTCACCAAAAGCCGCAAAAAAAAGCGATGCAGTTTCCTCCGACACGAATGCGGCCAAGTCCTCCCACGGGCATGAAGAAAGGGCAGCCACTGAGCCGTAGTGACGCTCTACATATGCCCCACGACGAACTTGGGGACCGGTAAGCACCAACATGTCCTCCACGCGAATACCGTAGTAGTCAAAGTGGTCACGCGCGGCGTCAAGGAATCTCTCTCGGCATGCGTGGGGTTTCACCAGCACCAGCGATGTATTCATCATCGTTTCTTATACAGAGCCCTATTCTCACACTCGATTTCAAAGNCAAAGAAGAAAGACCCAAAGTGTCATTGACGCGCAGTACCGCACATCGGATATTATTATTTTTATTTGCATTTCGGGGGGAAAGGGAAAAGAGGGGAAAAAAGCCTCTCGGTAAAACAAGCGAAAAAATCGGCGTCATACTACTCATACTTCGTCCTCGGCATAATCTGATCTAAGCACACAGCCTCTAGGCGTCTAAACACAAAATAGGAAATTGTGACTTGTAGGAAACACCACAAACACACCCAGGAGAAGATAGAAAGAGACAGAAACAGACTCACCTCTCCTTCGGTTTGTACGTGTTTATCATTCAAAATCTATGTGCCTTCTTCTTCTGCTCCTCATCATCGTCATCCCGACTCTCTGTTTAGCAGAAACTCTGTAGCGACACCTCATAGTCCTGCTGGAGCGATGCCATGTCAGACGGGATGGCCGTCATTGTGTTCTTCAACTGGATCAAGTAATTGGCAACCTGCGTGGGCTCTGTCGTCAACATCATAAGACGCTGAGCCTCGGCAAGTTGATCGGGCCGCAGGTGTTCGGCGAGCTCATTCTCAAGAAGCATGGTTACCACTGTTGACACATCTTGGCCGTGGAACACGCGCTCACCTTTACGACTCCCGTCATCATCGTGGGACATGGGAATAGTGCGTCCGGCGTTGCGGTCCACAAACATGCTAAAATCCACAAGTCTCTCCCAGTGCACCGGAACCAACACGGCAGCGGGCATGTCCACGCCAACGTCCCCACGCCGAAGGGCCAAAAAGATGTGATTCATCGCTCTTAAATTGCCGTGAATGGTGCGCTTCACCACGAGATCGGAAAGCATCCGCAGCAGGAGTTTCACACACGTAGGGAAGGAGCCGGCTGAGAGTGGCACAGTGGAGAGCGGCACCGCACGATACCCCATTGGTAAAGTGATGGCCGTCAAGCCGCCGTCACGGTACCGGTACCCAGCGACACGCAGAGCAGAAGAAGTGAGGGACAAGCCTAGCGCTGCTCGGTGGGCCTCATTCACCCCGTGTTGCACCGCACGCACGCTCCAGCGATACAGCAGCACCTGTTCAGAGGCATTCAGCTGTGTCTCTGTTTCTGTGTACGCCTCGTAAACATCGGAGGAATCGTGATAGCGGAGGACATGGTAGCGGTCGCCGCAGAGCGTCACGGTTATGCCAGGACGCAGCTGCGGTGTGAGCTCGTCGATGCTCCAGAAATCACTGCTGCAACAGATGGCTTCCAAGTTGGCGGAAACGAGAGGCGCCACGAGAGCAGCTGGTATTGTCTGGCTGTGGATGCCGTATACCTGGCTTGGGATCGGGCTGGCGTGCTTAATGGTGCGGCGCGTGGTCGTCGTGCGACCAGGGACAAATAGCTGCTTTGTCGTACGCAGCTCTGATGGGCGCACCGTCGTGAACCGCAACTGCTCCGGCCCCGAGGTCGTTTCGAGACCCACCTCTGTGGTGTAAACATTCTCGTTATCCTCTTCATTGTCATTATCAGTTTCACCGTCAATGTCACCTAAACGCTTTGGGGACGCAGTGCTGCTGCGCTGCGGCGGCGGCGGTGGGTAAAAGGTGTGTGCATTGCCGTCTCCGCGAAGAAGACGCTGCGAGACAAAGGTAGAATGACTGCCATCTGATATGACATCTGACCTTTGCTGTTGATGCTGTTGATTTCCCTCTTGCGGCTCAGGCAGCTTCATGCAGGGGTTGAGACCACTCTCACGATAGATGGAAAAACTCGACGCGCGTGGAGCCTGGGCGACAGCGCCCACATAATTTGGAGACGGCACCATCATGCTAGAGATCCGGTGGGTCGACGCAGACACGTCGACGTCGTCATCCTCACCTACTAGTGGCGCAGGAACGAAATGGTTCAGATAATACGCACCGGCAGACTCCTGCTTATGCGGTTGGGGTTGTTCCTGCTGTGGCACTCTCAATGCTTCGTCAGGCGTATCGTCCAGCGTGATCTCAGCGCTGAGGCGCACGCCAGAAATGCGTGTGGCGTCGCCACCCCGCTCGACACGTCGGAGTTCCTGCTGCACCTCCATCTCCAGCATCTGGTACAGCACACAGAGCTCACGCCCAGAGCGGTCGTACACAGGGTACTTGGAGTAGAACTGCACGTTGGGGTCTCGTGAGCGCAGAAGTCCGCCACCGTCACCTTCCCGCGCTGAATAACGAGCGGCAGGGGTGTCCTTCTCCCGCATGTACTCCAGTGGTGTCATTCGCTTGATGTGTGTTCTGTCATAGCCGTACACGGCCTCGCACGGGGAGTACATCAGGTACACGATCTTCTCCTGGCTTATTGTGTATGTTTGTGTCCATAGAGAGAGAGAGGGGGTGGGAAAAGAGGGGCGCACGCAGAGTAGAAAGAGTCAGGGTTGCAAAACAGACCCAGGAACCATTGCTTCTCAAGTAGCAGTATCAGCAGCAGCAGCAGATTGCACGACAATATCAGCGCCGGCAGATGCACACTCTGTCTCTCTCTCTCTCTCTTTCTCTCGCGGAGAGAAACACACATCACACACCTCCTCAACCGATGGGCGGGGCGCTATGCCGCGACACCGTTGCGCGGATCAGCTCGCGACACTCAGGGTACGAAAGCGCATCCTCCGAGACCTCCCGCACCAAATCTCTCGTTGTCGACAAGCCAGCCCGAGTTGCATCGTTCACACCAACAGTTCTATCGCCAAATATACCCACCCGCGACATCCACCGCACCGCTTTGGCGTCCCACAACGCAACTACTCCCCGCGTGTCGCTTCCTTCATCCTCCACCTCCGCCGCCGCCCCGTAGCCCGACAGCCACACACTGTTCTTCGTAGCATCACCGCCACCACCACCACCACCACCGCCGCCGCCGCCAGCACCGCCAGCACCGCCGTTGCTGCTGTTGCTTTTGCCCCGCGTAAGCGCGGCCATCTCGCGGCCAATCGTGAAGAGGTGCGCCACCATCGGGCAGAGCAGGCACATCACGTGCGCCGGCGAGACCACGACGTGCGCGAAGCTCATGATGGGCGCAGCGTCATGTGAGTGGTGGTACGTCGGCGACGGGGGGCGGAGTGACAAGTGCGACCTCCCGGCACGCGGGCGGGCCGGCGGAGCGAAGAGTAGCGCGGCAACTTTCAGCAGCCGAAGCATGCGCGGCACTCGTGCGGTGATGCTGCTGCCCGGCGCGCTGTGCGTCAACATCGAGCCGCGCAGCACAACGAGCAGATGCCGCAAATACCGCGCCACCTCACCAGAGAGCGTGACGGTGTCGAGGAGCTCCTCACCGTCGGCGCACAGCATCACCTCCAGCATGTGCCGCTTGTTCACAACGTTGGAGCTGTGTGTGTCGGCCAACTGGATCACCGCGGCACTTTCCATCGCGAGCCCTGACATGTACGTCGAGAGCGAAAACGCGCTGCGGACATACTCTGGGAGCACCGACGCGTACGCGCGCGCGTCGCAGAAGGCGACGATGCGCAGCGATGGCACCCGCTTCACTGCGTTTCCGACGCGCACGAGACCGAACACCAGCACGTCCATGAGGACCGACATTACGCGCGGCGACGCGGCGGCGAGCCCTTGGAGGCACACGACCGTCACTTGGACGTGGTCCTCCGCGAAGCCGCTCGGTACTGACGCAACCGACGCCGACTCGGCCCGCATGAGAAACCCGCAGAGCGCGTCGCGTCGCGTGTTCTCGCTGAGGCGCAGCTCCAGGTACGTCGGCCCTTTAGGCATGGACGTAACGGTGCTGTTGCCCATGCCGTCGTGCAACACGAGCAGGTGCGTTGACGGAACACAGCAGCAGACAGAGACGAGCACGTAGAGCTGGCGGCACTCACACAGAACCGGGTGGTGCGTGGCCGGCCACTGACCGGTGAGCGGGTCAGGGAAACACTGGCTGATCGACGGCAGCATGCGCGGCCTCGGGTTTCCCTTTGCCTTTCCACAGCACGCACTTCCGCCAGCAGCAGCAGCGGCATAGAGGAACAGAAATGGGGGAAAGCGGAAGTGATACATGCGTGTCACAACCTATGCACATAGCGCAGCGTCAGCGGCCCACCTCGCTCGTGAACAGCGCACAGAGGCAACAAAAAATCACAACAACAGCAAAAACAATGATGAATTGATCTACACGGCGCCGAAAGAATTGCCGCGAAACAGGGGGGGGGAAAACTGGTCATATGCATGACTCTACATCTCGTCGGCCTCCTCAAGCGGTGACGGCATGTTTATCTGCCCATCCATCTCGCCGTCTCCCTCGGTGTTTGTGCGGCTACGGTGGCGGTGGCGGCGGTGGTGCCGCCGACCCGGATGTCCGTCGTCATCCCCCAACGCATCGGCGTCCACTCCCTGCAGCTCGTACGGTGCCTCGGCCTGGTGCAGCACCGCCTCGTCAGGCTCGCCAGATACATCGTCGACGCCTGTGTTCTGGTGGCGGTGGTGGTGGCGTCGTCGCCGGTGCTGCCGGTGCTGGCGGGCAGCCTCTATTGGCGGCACCTCCGCAAGCTCGCCGCCCTCGTCCGCCTCCACGACGTACGTGTTGTTGTGTTTGTCGTCGTCATCGTCGTCGTAGTACTCGTCCCACATGCGCTCACCGTACTCACGCTCGTTGAACAATTCATTGAATGTCCCGTCGTCGCCGCTGCGACCTGACCGTTTGGTTTCAAAGAACTGATCGGCCTGCTGCCTCATTGGTGTTGCCGCAGCCGCCGGCGGTGGTGGTGGCGGCGGTGGCGGGTGGCGGCGCCACAGCAGGCCCCCCTCCTCGAGGTCGGACTCACGCTCAAAGTGCGTGCGCATCTGCTCATAGTGTTCCTCCTTCACCCGCTCGGCGAAGCGCAGCCGCATCTCCTCCACCTGCGCCTCGTAGTCGGCCTCCGTCATGAGCGCGTAGGTGCGCGCAATACGCACCTTCTGGCCGTGCGCAATCGCCTCACGTGCCTCCGCCAGAATAGCGTCGCGCGCGGTTGTGTGGATGCGCAGCGCCGCCTTGTCAGTTGCGCACATGAAGCCGCGGCTCTCCCACGGCACGTTGGACTCCGACAGGAGCAACATTGCGGAGTCGTGCGACTTCACCGTCAGCACTAATGCGCCCGCCACGTAGAAGATGAGGTTCGCAACAGCGGCGCCAAAGGACCACTCGATGGGTGTCAAGAAGATGTTGTACTCGTCGTACTCCGCCTCATACAGCGCGGTTACATTGCTCTGTTCTAGCTCTCTCGCGCAGTCGCGTAGTGCGTCGGCGTAAAAGTGCCGCGACGGGTATATGATCCACACGAGCACGATGAGGGAGATGCAGAGGATGAAGGATAACGTCGTGGTGATGTGGTACAGTGGCACGTGCACGCCAAGCACGCGCAAGTGCCTATTTCCAGCCGAGTAATTCGCTAAGCTGAACGCGTCGTTTAGTATTGCCAGGAATTGCACGACGATGATGGCGAGGATGTGCTGCGCTACCACCATGAGCGGGGCGGCGAGCGAGTCGCCGGTCACCACTGTGGTGGCGTGCACCCCACCGATCTGCAGCGACCCCTCGTACTGACAGTTGCGCATCACAATCTCCATCCCCGACGCCACGGTAACGTTCGTGTTGGTGAAGTAGTCGGGGAGGCTTGTCACCAGGCGCACGTAGAACTCTGTCACCACCACCACGAGGCTGACGACGTGGAGGACGTTGCCCAGCTGGTACAACCCCTTGAAGAAACGCTCCTCCTTCTGCCGCGGGTAGACGGCGAAGGGGAACACGAAGAACATCGCAGACCGCCGCCGCCGACGCCTGTTTCTACTGTTGCTTTCACAGCGTCCCTGGCTTCTCCCGCTTTCGGCGGTGCTTCCTTGCTTGCTTGCTTGTATGCTTGCTTGCTCCGCTTCCGGCTCTCGGGCTGAGGGGGCAAAGGCTTCTCGCTCGGGAAATGCAGAGAGCAAAAAGAGAGAATGAGAGACACAGACGAAGTGTCGGTGACGCAGGACACGTCACGCACCACACAGCCGCAAAGAGAAAAGGAGGGGAGGGGCGAGATAAACAAGGAAGAAACAGGAAAGCAGAAGACTTAGAAGCCGCATTCCACTTGTCCCTTCCCCCTCCACCGTCCCTCCACCGCAGGAGTGGCAGTAGCAGTCGTAGCGACCAAACCGTACCACCACCACCACCACTACCACTGCTGGTGGCTCTGCTCTTTGTGGCGCAAGCCACCGTCGTGCGTGGCAGGAAAAAAAAGAAAAATGGGGTTACTTGCGGCGCCGCAGTTTGGATATCCTCCACGAGCTGCCGCTCTCCCATGCCCGAAGGATTGGGTTGAGGCGCTCCGCCCTCTGCTCCTTTGTCAGCTTGCCCTTGCGCGGCCTGCTGTAGAAGGCCGGGGCGAGCTCCACCAACCACTGCGGCTCAATCACCAGCAGCTCCCGCATGTACTCCCGGTTTGTCAGCTGCAGCTCATTAAAGAGCACGTACTTCGCTGGTGCGTCGCGCAGGCAGGAGGAGGGATGGACGTACACCTCGCGACGCTCCGCCAACGTGGCGTATGCAACGTCTGTAATGCGCTTGGCGGCGTTGAAGAAGTAGCCGGCGGTGAGAGCCCGCCGTACTTCCGTCAATGCGTCATCGTTGTGGTGCGGAATCGATGCGTGGCGTTTGCGCAGCATCTCGCTTAGCTGCTCACGCGTGTCGCGGGCCTCCACAAGCATGCGGTGCTTAAGGAAGTTGTGCTTGCACCACTCCTCACTAAGCCCGTTTGCCACCCAGGCATCATACACCGCTAACAGCGTGATCTGGTCACCCTCCGGCTGGTGGAACTGCCGCTTCGCTGCGTCCGCCGCCTCGTGCCGGTCGCGTGGGCGGTAAAAGACGCCACGCCTCTGCACGGCAAGCATCGACACGATCGTGAGCACCGGCTCGCAGCAGCCCCAGTCAACGGCCGTCAGCAGCGTCTTGCTCTGCGACGGGTCGATGGGGAGTTGGGCCATGCGGCCGCCAAGCGGCGTCAGCAGGCCATCGTCGTCGAGCGCCTCGAGATAGCGCAGCTTCTGCAGCGCTAGCACGAGCGTCTCCCGCGGCGGCGGGTCCATGAGATCGAGCGCAAAGAGATCATTGATGCCCATCGCCTTGAGCTGCAGCACCACATGGAAGAGATTCGAGCGCTGGATATCCGGCACCGTCGCCGGTTCCATGTCACTGCGGAACTGCGGCTCCGTGTACATGCGGAAGCACTTACCGGGTCCAATACGGCCGGCACGTCCCGCCCGCTGCTGCGCCTGCGCCTGCGAGATGGGCACGATGCGCAGCTGCTCCATCCCTGTCTTAGGGTCAAAGACATTCTGCTTGCAGTAGCCGCTATCAACGACGAAGTACAGGTTGCTGATCGTGATGGATGTCTCGGCGACGTTGGTGGCGAGCACCACCTTGCGGCAGCGCGGCGGCGTCGGCTCAAAGACGCGCGACTGCACCTCCTGCGGCAGCGAGGCGGTGAGCGGCAGCACGAGCATGTCCGGCACCGGCACGTCACACTGCGCACGCAGCTGCTCCATCCAGCGGAACAGCCGCTCGCCGCCGAGCTCGATCTCCTCCTGCCCAGTGAGGAACACAAGCACGTCGCCCGGCGGCTCCTCGAGATGCAGCTTCATCACCGTCTTGAGCGCGCAGTCGAGGTAGTCCGGCGTCGGCTCCACG